GCAGAAAGCAATATTCCTTCACGAAAGACATGAAGAGAGATAAGATCCTAAATCTATAGTTTGTTTACCATTGAAAATAGATTTTATTACATCGGAGCGAATATTTTGTTAACAATCCTTGCCAAAAAAACGCTCATCTATTTCTGTATTGAAAATTCAACTAGTATATGGCTTGAGGTAGCAATCACAGAATTATGAAAACCTGCAAAGACCCAAAGCACGTCACACACAGTTTTTAACTGTCTTTGCTGGTGGGGTTTTAATAATAAACGATACTTAAATAAATAAACGAACTATTTTTTCTTATGCCATTTAGCTCTCAAACTATTTACCTTCCCTATAATGTCCAGAAGATTGTGCTTAAAGCGAGTTGAAGCGCTGTAGGTATTTTTAAATATTGTCGAAGAAAAGTGTAGTTTTTCGTAAACAAACAGCGAATTTTTTTAGTAATTGATAGAATTTTGGTGTATATAACACCTCTATATCCAGCACGGCTCTGCGATCGCGTCCGATAGAACCATAGCGCGCCAGCCGGTTTTCGAAATTGCATTGCGCTGGGTATTTGCTAATTTCATAATGACCCCCCCCCCCCAATAAACATCAACGCTTAGAGTCCGCCGATGAAACGAAACCCGCTGATGTGTCTTTTACCGCAAGAAAAGACTCGTCATATGTTGATAAGTATTTGTTAGTGTCCTGTAGCACAAATAGCTTCTCAACTATTCCGCAGCATATTAAACCCTCTAAATAAAGACTAATAGTAGTTTACTAGTAAGTCGGACTCAAATCCTAACTACCACTCCACTCCATATTACGTTTTAATAAAAGTCTTCAGTACTTCAGTGAGCTGAATAATTTATGAAATAAATATTAGGAAAGAATTGTTTAAATATCTAATTGTGAAAATTTGTATCCTCCATTTAAAAAAGTTCAGATTCGTCAACACTTCCATCACCACTGAGATTAATGATGTTCATTCTTATCACACGTAAATGAATATTATATTAGAGTCATTGTAATAGGAATTGAAATGCATCCGCAAAATATAATCATCCGACATTGATTTCTTTGATGTCTTGAGTCATGAGTAGATGATTTAGAGAATAACACTGGGTAAAACCAGCCGCTGCTGGCATTAAAGTCAGTTCTTAACCGGATATCTGCAAACCATTATTTTAATGTAATTGTTTCACACATTTAAGTGCAGCATTGATCATGTAAAATGAAAAGACACTGAAAAGTGTTCACGCCCTTACAGAAACAGAAAATAGTATCTTAACGGAATTAATTGCATAGTTATAATGCCTTACTATAATTTTAATATTGACGTTTAAAAATTCCGCAAATTGACTCAAAAATACGCATTTTGTTAAGCAAACCGACATCAAGATATTAAGAATAAACTTAAGTATGTAAGTACGAAACAGCTTGGATCACATATTAACGCAGGCAAGTCACAAAGTCGACGATCATTTCATAATTGACTATTCTGAACTTGAAGTTTTAGTTGTTGTTTGTTTTTGTAGAAAAAATACGGATATGACTCACCATTCGTTTGGTACTTCTTCATGGGTCAAAAATATCCGGTTTCTATGCTTTAGTACCGAAAAATGATAATACTAAATTCTTGACCAATACTATTTTCCGTAGAATTTACTCGGTTTGCTTTCTCATGCCTATATATTGAGAAAATGTAATGCATGGAGTAAATGATTCTAGGAGAGGGAGTCTTGATTGCCATGTTTTTATGTCTAGGGCGACATTTGCCTTTTGCGTATTTATTATGATGAACCCATTTATAGATACATTGCAATTTGATTAGACATGATTGATTACAGACTGTTAGCAGTATAATAAAATTCACAATAATAAAACATAAAACGTTCAGAATAAATATTGCAAATATAAAACTATATATTCTTCAATATCAAGCTCATTTTAAATAAAAACACATTGTGTATATATTTCGAATATTTCCTTTTATTGCATCATTATAAACTTTAATTTGCTACATAACTAAATTTTCACAATGTTTAATGTTTCGAAAGAGATAAATTTCGCACGAACGTTCTAGCGGAAGGTGCGTCAGAACACAAAAATAAACACCACGGGAAACGCAAGAAAGAGGATTATCGTGGAATCAAGTGCCTTAAATCAGTTTGCCGCTGCGTTTGCAAGCTGAAAGTTTGCCTCGTGTGACGAGCGACTGGCGCAACCAGGGAATGCTCATCACAACACGCAGACATCCTTTGGAGGCGGATTGTTGTAAGATCTCCCGGATGCGTCAGAGGTTGGTTTTATAGTCGCTCGAAACGCCTTGTGTTTTCGTCGTTCTCTGAGCATCACGTGACGTTTAACAGAAGCTTCGCCACACTTTGGCATCAGGGGCGGTTCAGTGTAATAAGATTATAATGATAGTGCTGCTGATGATAATGGAGTGATCTGAAAACTCTGTTTCAGAGAACAGGCTGAATACGGCTGATGATCTTGTGATATTGATATGACATAAATGCCGATAAAGCTATGGCTGAAAAAAGGCGAGGAAATATTGAAAAAATCTCAAGAAAACTCATCACCTTGCATTGAAAATTAATTGTCTGGTTTTTGTTCTTGGTACACAGAGATGAAATGCTAATGCGGTGCTCACTACCCTATTGGTTCTAAATCTAAATGATTCGTAATGCAACAGCAGCATACTTTCTAAGATTATATATAACTTTTGCAATTTTCGAAAATTCAGAGTGTTTGACGAAAACGAGACCTGTCCCTTTCCTTTAAGCGCCCTTTACTCTATACTATGAAAAAAATTGAAGAAAAAAAATTGGAGCAATTTTTTCAAAACAAACCAACAAGAAACAACAACATTAAACTCGAGCAGAAATTACTCGAAAACTATAAGTTAAAAAAATTACGTGATTTTATTTGAAGATCTAATTTATTATAATGGATTTTACGTTAAACAATCTCTATCATAAATTTTAAACTTTTGCAAAGTTATTTTTTTGCTATTTTCAAAAATTCAGAGTTAGTCGCCATGCGACCAGCACTAAGCATATTGTAAATTATCTTCCAATGGGGAATAATGATTATTTCATCTGCAGACACGGAGATGACATGCTAAAGGAAATTATTTCTTAGGCATTTCCTGAAACTTGATGTTTCTAAAATGTTTTAACGAGGATTTGCACCGCGACCGTCACGTGGGAGCTTGACCTTTCGCTGCTCCGCCTCATTTTCCGCGTGACTGGACAACTTCGCAGCCACACGTTCACCTTGCAGGCCTCCCTCAGTAGAATGGCAAGAAGGGCTAGGCTCTGTACTATCGCTGATTCATCGCTCGTAAAAATATTAATATTAAGAAAAATAAAATTTAATGTTAGTATGAACGCATAAGCGCACTTGTTGGCTGAGAGTCCACAAGTTATGTTCGCATTCACTTTAATCTTCCTACCAATTTTTTGACAGTAGGTCAATTAACGGAAAAATAAGAGATGTCGACGTTTCGATGTTTCATTTCCTCTTTCTCAGAGCGAAAATATTAGACAACCATTTAGCAGTTTTATCTAAACCCTTAAGTATAATCACATCTTAAATCGCTCTCTTCAAAACTTTACATGGTATAAACTCGTAAAAATCTTTACTCTGTATAAAACTGAGTAATATACATAAATATTATAAAGAAAGTTTTTTAATGTTGAGGACATTGTTTTTGAGATTTAAAAATATAATACCCGTTTTCGGGCCCTCTGAAACCAAAAAAGAGTTGATTCTTTCTTTTCTTTTTTTCCTTTTAAAACGTACATTTGTCCGTCAGTACATCGATTCCTTCACAAAGGGCGCGACGAAGGATTATAGCCCAAAATCTGCGGCTTTCTTCCTTTGCAAATGGCTTTTATTGCAAGGGAGTTAATATTCTCTTATCAATTCTTTCCAAAAACGCATTTTCCCCTGCACTCATAATTCAACTTGAATATTAGGGTAAAGATCT